CTATCTATCTATCTATCTATCTATCTATCTATCTATCTATCTATCTACCCTGTTTCTCCAACAATACAGCCTCCCCCAATAGGAAGTCCCAGCATGTTTTATAGGCATGAAATGAAATTAAGTCCCTCCCCCCAAAATTAAGGCCTATATTAAAACATGCGAAATGGGGGGGAATGGTGGGGGGGCTTGCCGTTAGGAAGTACTTTTGTTGCACACCCGGATATGGTGCTGCCTGCGTTGACCCCGATACGAAGTGCCCCACCAACGCCGAGGTCAACATCCAAGCCGTCGCCGCCCGCCCGAAGATGCAGGGGGGGGGGGATTAAGTCACCCCCGAAAAGACGGCCTAGCCATTTTTTCAGGGCTCAAAAAAAAAATAAGACCCGGCCTTATTATATGAGAAACACGGTATCTATCTATCATCTATCTATCTATCTATCTATCTATCTATCTATCTATCTATCTATCTATCTATCTATCTATCACCTACCTACCTGTCATCCATCTGTCTGTGTCTGTCTGTCTCTCTGCCTACCTACCTTCCTGTCTGTCATCTACCTGTAACCCATCCATCCACCTATCTGTCATCCATCTATCTATCTGTGTCTATCTGTCTGTCATCTGTCATCTATCTGTCTGTCTTTCTGCCTGACCTCTATCTATCTATCCATCCATCCATTTATCCACTCACCCACTCCCTTCCATCCTAATTGCAAGCACACCCCAGCTGATTACTTACTCCATTGTAACCCTCCTCTAACTCCATTCTGCCCCCTTGGGGGGGTGGGGGGATCCCCAGAACCTGAGTCAGGGTGTCCAAATAGCCTGGATCAGCAGACACCTAGTGGCACAGAAATAGGATTATAATTACAATATGCACAACAGTCTGACATCACAAGGGCCCGTTCTTTAGCTGGCATTAGCCTTCATTTGCATCAAGTCCTTCTTAAGGATGACATAATGTTTTGACGCCTTATTATCATGATGGTTCATTGCAGTCAGCCAGATGTTTAGATTGGATTTGGCATTTTTGTCCCACTATTGGATCCTTCCAAAAGACCTGTGAGAGGCAGATATGGATAAATGGATAACCTCTATCACCAATGCATGACCTCAGAATTGTAAATCAATTCTTTTCCCTTTTTTCCTGTGATAAAATATTCCATGTCTGGGATATTTGAAAATCATCATTATCCATATTTTGTTAATAAAATGAAATTCAATGTAGAGAAAAGTAAAGCCCTGTACTTAGGCAAGAAAAACCAAAGGAACTCATACAGACTGGATGAAACCAGGTTTAATAGCAGTAACTGGGAGAAGGATCTTGGAGTCTTAGTGAACAACCAGCTAAATAGGAGCCAGCAGTGTGCAGCAGCAGCAGCCAAAAAAGCTAATGCAATCCTAAATTGCATTAACAGAGGGATACAATCAAGATCAAGGGAGGTACTAATACCACTCTATAAAGCC